TGGTGGTGGTGGGGGGGGGGGGGGGGGGGGCTCGTCTCGGTGGTTTGCGTGGGCTGGCGAGTGGTGTGGGGTGTGTTGGTGGACCATGGGGGCTGGTCGGGTGTGTGTGGTCACTTGCTGCATTGCACATTTTGCATCGCTTTTCAATCGTATTCCTGCTTTTGCTAAGCACAATGCACAGAAGACTCAGCGAATATAATTTACTTTACATGTGCATTGTGCAAAACGTGTTTCGGTACGGTATCGAGGCAACTATAGGTCTTGTGCCATATAGGTATATGTATGATATTTAGGCAATACATTTATGAAAATGGTAGAATGTAGATTGATGCTGGATGTCCATTCGTATGCTAAATGTCGGCAAGTATTGAATGAATGAATGAATGAATGAATGAATGAATGAATGAATGAATGAATGAATGAATGAATGAACCAATCAATCAATCAATCAATCAATCGACATGTATAAACTACCGTATATATGGCTCACAACCACTAACAACCAAGCCATCCTAACTCTGAAAAGCAGCCAGAGCCCCGATGAGGAGCTTGAACCGGGACTCCACTACGAAAGTTTGGCCAATAATCCATCATCATTCCACCAAGCTAGAGTGGCCGGCACCTGAGCCGATGCGATCTTTTCCGGTCCTGAGCCTTTCCGATCACGGCATAACTCGCCCCAATGACGCAATCATCAGCGATTGGCGGCAAATTCGTCTGCGGCCAAAGCCGCCATCTGGTGTCGCTCAGCGCAGGAGTTACTCGACCAGGGTTACTCGACTGTCAAACTGACCGGTTGCGAGAAGGTTCGAAACCCTCCGGGTGCTGGATATTTTTTTTTTCTGGGTGGGAGGCTCTGTGATTAGTCCACTTTTTAGAAAGACTATTTGGTGACTGATCTTTCTTTGCTGCCATTCATGAGGAGACCGTTGCACCCTTACCTATCCTTCCGCACCCCACTTGGGAGATTAGCGTTTGAACCTCCCCTGGGCTTTGTGCATATCTCTAAAACGTATTTTTGGAGGGGGATGCGATCAGTTCTATGCGATAAGTGACCAACCACACACGCCCAGCCCCAGGTCTGCTCACTCCCTCCCCACATCACCCCCGCCTCACACCACACTCCACCACGCCTCATTCACCGAGCCGAGTCAAATCAACAGGCCCTGCCCCTCCCCCCTTCCTCAGCTGGTGTGACGTAGCGTCCGGTTAAAACGCTCTACCAGGCGACCCGAGACGGTGTCGCCGCTTAATCCGCGCATGACTGGGGTATTTTCCATAACGCGAGTGACTGAGGGGGGGTCTCCACAGCCCCCTCCTATCTCCGAAACTATAGGGCCGATCGTCAAAATTCAAACGGCGTCTGATAGCCGTGGAAAAACTGTCGGGTGAAACCTATTTTCATTGACTTCGAGGTCACCGATGACGTCACAGGTCAGGTCAAAATAAAAATTATCAGCATTTTTGCTTGTTCACAGGTTGGGCTCTGACTGCCGGCTGACAAGTCCGATCAGGCTCATTTTTTGGTTTACGCACTCCTTGATATATGATTTAGATACCTTGCGGGTACCGAACTTTTACTTCGAATTTTTCAGGTCAAGGCCAGGTCATCCTAGGCCACGAAAGTTTTATATCATGTATCAGTCACGTGACGCAGGTTTTATGGTCCATTTTACTCGTAGATTTCGAAAACCGTCTGTGTCATTTGAGGTCATTTTCAGCTGAATTTACCGGAGGTCAGGTCACCTTCATGTCAGAAAAGGTCAAATTTCGATAATGATTTTTTTTTTAAACAAAAAAGGTGCCTATCAGATGCAGTTGGAGCTCAGGAACACGATGGTGCCAATTATATTGCTGTGCGATGTCAAAAGCGTACCTACTGAAAAATGGTTTTGAAAAATATGTAATTGCAAATTTTAACAATAGGTAATGCAAATAACTTGGCTATTTTTGAAGATATTGGGCTAAAACTTGCTAGAGTAGTTTATCGGTGTGTGTTCTATCACACGTATACCGGTTTTGCGAAAAATTAAACTCTTTAAAAAATAAAAAAAATACATTTTGTGTAATTGTAGATACATATTGCATATTTTTCAAAACTTTCACAATTCTGATGATTCGAGACAGCAGTTTCATAGCTACGTGCATTTGTAGTCCACTCATGCAAAGAAATTGGACCTAGCTTTAAAACTGAGCTCTTTAGAGTGTTTGCCGTAAATCAATATTTTACATCAATCGGCCGGCATGACGTCACTCCGACGTGATTTTCGGCCAAACTATGGTGGATTGAAAGTTGAAATTTTAACGCAAGGTGTCAAATCGATGCCTCTGAAGGTAAGTACCACAAGTTTCGTGTTGATCCGTCAAACGGTTTAGAATATATTGCCGAAAAACGGGAGGGGCTCTGTAGGCCCCCCCAGTCATGCGCGGGTTAACTCTCGGATCATGCGGCACAGCCCTACCGGTACCAGGCGGCTGCTGCCAGTGCTGACTGCTGAGCCTTAGGGACCGGTGAATACAGAGTAGTGGGCCATCAACCTGTAACCGACTGTACCTACTGATCAGTAAGTTTTTTGGTCAGACGTTCAACCGGCAGCCCCAGGAGCGTGCCGTGTCCCACCGCGCTGTGCGTCCGGTCCGCCCAGACAGGTTGCCTGACAATATACGATGCTATATAACCGACGAGCTGGCGGCGCGCCAAGCTTAGAGGGCGCCCCGGGGGGCGTGCGCGCGTGCAGCTCCCCCGATAGAGAGACGACTCCGCTCTGGCGACTGGCCTCCGATGAAGGTGGCCATTTTTACGGTGAGAGGATTTAGTTCATATGGAAAGTTGATGTGAGAGCTGATCAAAGATCATAACAGAACAAAAGTTCTTGCATGCTGTTCATTTGGAAATGAACTCAGATGTTAAGTGCTATTTTAAGAGGGCTGGCCTCAGAGGGCTCATTGTCTCGCGCGATTCCCTAATTGTATCGATTTTAAACACTCCCCAGCGCTTTTAAACATTAAACAAAACACTCAAGTATTACAACACCCAACGAAAATCATCAAGTAAACAAAAAACTGAACGATTTAACGATTAACGATTAACGACTTTGACAATTAATTTGAAAAGTACAGTCAATTGTAACGAAAACTGTAAAAACATTTTAAGCCTTGGTACATATTTTTCAATGCTCTTAGTTCGGCCGTTGACTGATATACAAGCAATGGGAGAGGTTTGTCATTAAACTTCAAAGAGTAGACTTGCCAATGATTGCTCTCTTTTAATAGGCTCGCTTACCGTAACATTACGATTAAGCGAGCATTACCGACAATTGGTTCAGTCAACTAAATCTATCTCAAACAATCTGCTTGTTAAATGTTAAAGGTAGTGTGCCAGCTTTCTTGGACCATATGGAGTTAATGGCCCAGATAAGGAGAACCGGATTTTTAGAACTTATCCATACCTTCAAAACTCATGGAAACGTCTTAAATTCTTCAAATTTTGAGTACCCCAGTGCGAAATTCGCCCCGACGGCTTGTCGGTCGTACCCCAACCACATTTCACACCACTATGAACAATAAATGCACACACTGAAATCGCTATTACCGATATGCTCATCCAATCAAGTTTCGATAAACCCGTTCATCATCATCTCCTGCGGTTTCGAACACGCCTGTTAGGTGGCTTCTGATGCTCGTCGAGGTCGGAATTTCCAAATACGCGTGGTGCGTCGGGCCGCGCGCTCTGACTTCGGCCAAGAAAAATGCGTCAGCTGATCATTGTCATTTCTGCCACTTGCGTGTGGTGAAATGGGGTCATAACTTATAAGACGGCTTTTTCATATCAATTATTTTACATAAAATCATATTTCAAACCATAAATAATGTTCGACAGCCAAATAAAAGAAACAATACCAATACGGGCTTACAGTTTAAGGCTCGACATTGTGTTTTCCTGTATGTTTGATGCAGTCTTGCAATGCAATCCAGCCATCCAAGAAACTTTGCGCGAGACGTTTTCTTGGATGGTTTTCTTGGATAGCTTGATTTCATCGAGGGCTTCTGTTTTAAAGAAAATTTGTAAGCTTTGCTGAACTGTTGAGTAATTAGAACTGCCAGTATTTCAGTATCTAACTTGTAGTTATTGTTAATGTATTTTATTTATGCATATTTCGGCCTTTTTTAAGCAGATAACGAACGATATTAAGAAACATACAGGAAATAATATCTAGGACTCTACCGCGACGAAATATTTCTATCTCGAGTTTTCAAAGAATTTCATGCACTCGGCCAAGGCCTCGTGCATGAAATCCTTTAAAAACTCTCGATAGAAATATTTCGTTTTCGCGGTATCGTCCAAGAATGTATAGTCTACGATTAGACAGCTGATAACTCATTCCCGTACGTCGTATGGTCGTAACACTATAATGACCTTTGCTTATTGTCACAAGTGCGCCGCATTCGCGATTGTTGCCCGACGCCTGTTTGCAGGTGAGCCCACTACAGTTGTTATACATATCTAAAAACCGAAAAACTTTTAGGCGAAAAAGGCACTATTCCAGGCCCATTTTTGATTTTTTTGCGATATTAGGTAAAAACAGAAGCTTCTTATCCTAGGAAAAATAAAATGGGAAATCTTTCAAAGGTGGCACACTACCTTTAAGTTCTAAATAAAAAACATGTTTTGAAGAAAAAACGTGAGCCTTGTTTCCATGCTTAAACAGAACAACGTAAATTTTCAGCATCTGGAAAAGTGTCCACTGTTCAAAGAAATCAGTAAAGTACAATTACTCTAAACACAGAACTGCTTAATCTTGGAAACGATAATATGCTGCTTATCCGTCTGTCCGCCGTCGGACGGTCGGACGGACGAACGGTTTAATAGACAGACAGAGACAGACGGCGGATTAATAGACAGACAAAGACAGTCGGAAGGACGGACGGACAGACAGACCAAAAAGTCGTTCCAGCTTCTGCTGTCCATTATAGCAGCGTATTTTTGTTTTCGTTTTCAGTTGGTGCTGGCATCCTTCTGGGTGCGGCACCAGGCACAGGAGGGCGGCTGCGACTGTATTCCCCGCGATCAGTGTCTCGCTGACCCGACACCGGAGAGTTTCACCGCCTGCACCACCGTCAACGGAACACAGGGCGTCTGTTGCGCCAGTGCCGCCCAGCAGCGTGGCGGGTGAGAAAAGTCATTCATTGCAACATGAAAATGAATTGAATAGAAATAAAGGTAAAAATGAGAATTAAAAAACATAACAAAATAATAAAATTGTCAACTACGAATAACAGAAAACTAACAATAATAACGTTATTAACCCTCGCATGTGTGCGGCGTTTGTCAGCTTCTAACGTATAGGGGGGGGGGGGTCGGTTGGACCCCCCCTTGCCGTTTGGCCCCTGATCGAGCTAGAGCTTCGCGGAAAAAAAACGAGCGTGTTGCTCGTCACGAGACGAAGCCGATGACACCCAATTTTAAGGTCCTAGGTCATTGGTTGACCTTCCAGGTCAGGTCAATGTCCCAAAAGTCGGGAAAATCGGGGCCTGTTAGAAAGTCGTAAAGTGTGGCTGCTATGGGGTTTCTCGGGGTGCTGATCACGAATATCGTGTTAGTTTTGATCAGTGATCACAGATGATGTCTTTAAGCATTTAGACCAGATCGGTCAGGTCAGGTCAGGTCAACCAGTAGGGATAGTGGCGGGTATTCGTAGTAGGTGTCAACCGCCTCTGACAGCTTCGTAACATGTTACAAAGGCACTAGAACTGCTTCGTAACTGTTCAAATGGTTTTTAAATTCGAATTCAGCTCCAAAAACTAGCCTAGAAACACGTAAATCTCGAAAAAGTGAAACGAGGTCACCAGACACCAAAGGTGAATGACCTGACCTGACCTTCAGGTGACCTTGACATCCACCCTAATGCATGGTAGCAGCATCGAATCACATGTTTGAACGCTTGAAACCACGAAAAGCTTGCAAACGCGCGGCTAATGCGAGCCGACATACGCCGAATCGCGATTCCGACCAAACATGGCCTCGAGAAATAGGTCACAGGTCAAAGGTCACTCGGGTCAGGGTAATGAAATTTTCAGAGTAGGTGTAAAATTGATCAACTCGAGGGTACTGAAAGCGTCGTCGCGATCGGCCGCTTTGTGCCTGAGTTATTCGCGAAAAACATGGGTGAGGTTAAATTAAGTTTTACCGATTTACAAACAAACTGATCATAGGCATTAATTGCATTGATAATTAACGTGTTTTATCGCATTTTATTGCATTTTCATTTTTAATGAAATTTGTTTTTTTTTTTGTTTATTTAAAGTACTTGCAGGTACTAATTGACTTGTATAAGGACAAAAATGTTTTTTTTTTATACGCTCACAAATGGCAAAAGAACAAACCTGATAATTCCTGCAAGTTAAAACACCAAACGGCTATACTCAGGCCAGCATATCCTGTAAATCGATTTAAACCCGCGCTGGGCTGGAAGGTGTTTGGACCCCCCAATGCGGTTTTTCGCAGATATCTAAATAAAAACGGCGGAGCGGAGCGCACCATGTTTGGGACACCAGAGGCCTCCTGCACCAAAATCATCTTACACTATTCCTTGGCTTCTGTTGCACCCTGTGCACCCACAAGACTACTGTGACCAGGGGCGTCGCCACGGATTTTTGAGTGGGGGGGGGGGGGGGGGTCGGGTTTCCGGTCTTCGTCTTGATGGGTAGGGGTGTTTTTAGCCACACTCACGGTTTTTTCGTGTGCCCGGAGAAAAACCTCGGCGCGCAGCGCCGCGAAAGCAGCGGTATATCGTATTGTACATCAGTTTTGCATCGTGCATAAAAGTCAAGCAGAGGTCACCCGAGGTCAGGTAACAATGTCATGTCAAGTTCAGTTTTAATGCCTCTTAAAACTGCAATCTTGTCATTCCTATAGATTATCTCCTGACTCCTATAAGTCTGAAATTTGGTGTAGTGAATGAGATTATAAATGCCAACAGTTCATGAATCTGGGATGTTACATCTGAGAAGCGAAGTCAGGTCAAATAGGCGTGTGACCTCACCAATCATGATAAGATATGGGAAAAAGCACGATGCCCTCTGCTTTGAAAGAATATGCTAAAAACGCTAGATACTTTTGTAGCCATGACACCTTGTTCAATCATTTTAGAGATAAGGTGCAGCTAATGACCAGTGGTGACTGAAATGGTCAGTCCTTAGGTCATCAAAGGTCTCTAACACATTTTCGACAACAACTTTTGATGGAGACGTTGTAGAGCGATGACAGCACCTGGAGTGTGTTCAGCTCAGTAACACAGATCGATCCATATGCAGCAGGTTCTTTTCCGGTCAGGCCATGACCTTTACCTGATGTCAAGTTTTCTATTCAAGTTTTTAAGTTCAAATTGTAAGCCATGCGACGTGTTTCGACGAAACAAAAACGATGGTGAAAACATGAATATCATACACATTCACTGAATCATAGGTTGTTACAGAACAAATGTTTCGGCAAAATCCGTCCGTTTAGCTGTTTGGACTGTATGGTACACAAGCCTGAAGCTATAGACCCGAAGTCATATCTGAGGTGAAGTTGGCGAAAGAGCTTTAAAAAGCTATCGAATACGCTTTCTGTGTTGCTGTAGCTCTTATTCGTATTTTGCGGGTCGCTAAGGTAAAACGTTTACCAACGTAACGCATAAGGCATGCTTTCAGCCCCTGATCGAGGTAGAGTTTCGCGGAAGAGCGAAAATGCTGCCCGTGATGAGAGAAAGCCGATGATGCCCAATTTCAAGGTCTTGGCCGGGTCATCTTAGGTCAACGCCCAAAAGTAGGAAAAATCTGGCCACCTGCTAGAACTTAGTGAGCCGTAGCTGTTATCGGGGTCCTGAGTACGAGTTCGATGTTAGTCTTGAACAAAGATGATGACTCCATGCATTTTGGGTAGATCGGGTCGGGTCAGGTCAGGTCGACCAGCAGGCTTCCTGCCGGCCATCTAGAGTGGGTGACTGACAACCACCAACGATAGCTTCGTAACATGTTACATAACCATCATTTATCAAAACTACTTGAAACGGTTCAAACGGGCGCTAAACTCAAAATCAGCCCCAAAAACCACACTTGTAAGTGGAAGCAAATAAAACTCAAAAAAGTTAACCAAGGTCATCCATATTCGAATCAGGGCCATTTTTTTTTAGAATAGGTGTAAAATTCATTAACTCGAGTTTCGTTGCAATATACTCCTTTCTGTGCGTCTTATAAGGAAAGCCCCAGAGGGATCTACCATCTGACCCCATTTCCCCTATGCAGGCAGGTCCGAGGGTAGCAGGGCTGAGGCTAGCCAGGTAGGTACAGCCCTCTGCAAACTGCGTGGTAGGTATTCTTTTTTCGACAAAACCGGGAATAACGCGAATACAATGCTATTGGCCAGTCGGAAAACGTAACAGCAAGACGTGCGAGACTCCGCACCTTAGATTGGGCTTATTTTGGTATACATTTTCCAGCTGGTTTGGCAACAATACAAGAAAGTTTATATCTGCCCCCAAAACAAACTTTTGCATTTTGTTGCTACACTAGTTGTATAATTCGTTCAGTGATAGAACCAATCGAGGGAGTGGAGCATGGCGCATCTTTATGCAATGAGATCCGACCGACCGATAACTTAGTCTTTGAGTTATTCTCGGTTTTGTCGAAAAAAGAATGCCTACCACGCAGTCTGCAGAGGGCTGTACCTCGTAGTTACTGATACGTCATCCGACGAATCGACTGCAACCATTATTTTGACAATCAGACGAACGCTTGGGTCAGTTTTGACGCGCTCGCTCATTTGAGGGATAAAAAGGGACTAAAATCATATTGGCATGCTGATGTTCTAGCCCACAGCTTATTGACCTATAAGCAATAGGGACTAGGGAGCTCTTGAAGCGATTCTGAATCTGACGTTGTATTTGTTGATGTTGCTGACGCCAACTTCCCTGACATGATAGCTAAAAAAAGCATACTCAGCATCGCCAAAAGTGGGGGGTCGACCCCCCGGTTCTGACGAGTGGGGGGGGGTCGCGACCCCCCCGACCCCCCCGTCGGCGACGCCCCTGACTGTGACAAGTTACCTACCAGTAAAACGCCTTTTGGGCGAAGAACGAGCGAGCGAGATAGTGAGCCCTGCACGTGCGGAAGGGCGAGAGGGTACTTCCAACGGGCTTGTGCAAAGCACCCTTCTAACCGGTCGCTAGCGGTGTACCAAATTTGAACGCAATCGGCCCAGCCGTTCCTGAGATCTGGAGACGGCATTCTGCACGTGCGCACGTGCAAACGGGGTCCAAACTGACTTTTGCACGGCACCCTACTAACTGGTCCCCAACCGTGTACCAAATTTGAGCGCAATCGGCCCAGCCGTTCTCGAGATCTGGAAGCGCTCCCTGCACGTGCGCACGTGCAGTAGCACCTTAACCGCAACACATGGGAATGCATTGCCTGGAGGGTGCCTACCTGTATGCCAAGTTTCAGCGAAATCGCCCCAGTAATTACCAAGTTATTAAAATGGGAACAAATTTGACACCTCTTATTGTTGTATTTTGCACGTGCACTGGGGGTGACCCACATGCATCGGGAGTATCCTATTTTTGGAAGAAGGGATGCTGCTACCCTACAAAAATTACCGCAAGTCAATCGCCCAAGCGGCTGCTGAGATATGAGCCCCTCAAAATCACTACTTTTACATAACAACTTGAACACCCTTGACTTTTCACGTGGCACGTGCCACGACGGTCACTGAGATGTATCAAAAGTAGTCAATTACGGGGTAGACGGGATGGGGCTACCCAGCAAAAAAGACCGCAGGCCAATCGGTCCAGCGGTTGCTGAGATATAAGCCTTTCAAAAGCGTTACAGGCCGGGCCGGGCCGGCCTGTAACGCTTTTGAGAGGCTTATATCTCAGCAACCGCTGGACCGATTGGCCTGCGGTCTTTTTTGTTGGGTAGCCCCATCCCTTCTACCCCGTAATTGATTACTTTTGATACATCTCAGTGACCGTGGTGGCACGTGCCACGTGAAAAGTCAAGGGTGTTCAAGCTGTTTTGCAAAAGTAGTGATTTTGAGAGGCTCATATCTCAGCAGCCGCTTGGGCGATTGACTTGCGGTGATTTTTATAGGGTAGCAGCATCCCTTCTACCCAAAATAGGATACTCTCGATG